GTTGCCCCCGCGCCTCGCTCAGCCAGTGAGCGGGAACCGGTCTGTATGTGGGATCCGAACCCTTGGGCGGGAGCGCCCGCACTTCCCAAGCGGCGCACTATCCAGTGCGCCACCAGGCCGGCCCCTTACCGGCCATCTAAAAAAAAAAAAAAAATTCCACATGAGTTTTGGAGGGGACAACACATCCAATCTCCACCATTCACAAAACTCACGTCACTCTCACATACAAAATACAATCATTCTATCCCAACAGTCCCAAAAGTCTCAGCTTGCTCCAGTGCCAACTTAAAAGTCCAAAGTCTCATCTGAGACCAAAAGCAAAAGCCCTTCCAGCTGTGAACCTGAAAAACAAAACCAAATTTATCTAGTGCCAAGATACAATGGTGGAACAGACATTGGGTATACATTCTCATTCCAACTGGGAAGAATAGGCCAAAAGAAAGGAAAAACAGGCCCCAAACAAGTCCGAAACCCAGCAGGGCAGACATTATGTCTTAAACCTCCAAAATAATGTTCTTTGACTCCAAGTCCTGCATCCTGGGCACAACTGGGCATCTGGGTCCCCAAAGCATCAGGCAGCCTTATTCCCACAGGTCTGCCAGGTGTAGCCCAGTGGGCTGCGCTGGTGCCTGCAACTTTTCCAGGCCGGTGTTCCACTCTGGTAGCTCCATAAGTCTGGGGTTTCGATGGTGGTCCCACTGCCTTGGCTCTACTAGACATTTCCCTGGTGGGGGCTCCCTGTGGGGGCTTCAACCCCACTTTCCTGCTTGGCATTGCTCTAGGAGATTGCCTCAGCACCTGCCCAGCATCCCAGGCACTTACGTTCAGTACATATGGTATCTCCAGCTGTTAGGGAGAGTGAGGAATGTTGGGGACACCAGGCAATTATCCAACTTTCTTTATGTTTAACAGGCTTGTCTGATGCCAAAGCCCCAAAGTCACATCATCTAACAAAGTCACATCATCTAAACAGGGTATTCCTCTGTACAGTGTTACTTCTTAACATGAATATAAGGGATCTTTGTGGTAGATAGTCCCAAGCACAAAAGATGTCCCCATAGGAGTGGAAAGACGATGAGCCCTTTCCTCCCCTTCATAAGGGTCACAGCTGACACCCCCATAACAAAAGATAGGTTACCAAGAGAAAAGCATAACAAATTTATTTGGTCATAGTTTTACATGACACAGGAGCCTTCAGAATGAAGACCCCAAAATACAGGGGAAACTATCTTATTTTATGCTTAGGTTTAGTGAAGCAGGGATAGCTGTGTAGAAATGTGGTTAGACAAAAAGAATATGATCTAATGCTAATAAACTGAGGGGGGAAACCCAGCAAGGCCCGTCTGTTCAGATTCTTCTTGGCTTCTCTGTGCAGCATTCTTCCCTCCTGGGTATGAGGCAGGACCTCTCTGGAATGAGGGCTGAATTTCTTTATGGCCGGTGGTTACATAGAAAGGCAGAGGGAAGGTTATAGTAATATTTTTAGGCTTTATGGGTGGCTTTGGGGAAAAGGGGTTCTAGTTTCTATGACTCACCTCGGGGAAAAGAGATTCTAGTTTCTATGACCTGCATCAGGGGAGAATGAGGGACAAGGGATAGGGTGGCAGGAGAAGGTCAGAGAGAAACTTTGTTTCTGAGGCTGCTTCTGAGGCCTTCACTTTGGGATATCATTTTCTGAGCCCCATCATTACAAACATAAATAGTTGACTTTGAAAAATAATGCCATTTCCCCAACTATTTTATCCAAATGCTTTCAGAAACTTTTTATTTTGGAAAATATCAAATATACCACAAAGACAGAATGATATAATGAACTTATATATCTACTACCCACCTCCAACAATTATCAACTCAATACCAATTTTTTTTTCTTTCTTTCTGACATCTGGCCAGTAAGGGGATCTGAACCCTTGACCTTGGTG